ATTCATTTAATGGAAAATTTAAAATTTATCCTGCAGTTCAATAATTGTATGAAATTCTATAATATTTTAAAGTACTCTAATAAATTATATTTTTGTACTCTTTCCTGCCAGGTAAGAATTATATATAGCTTAAACAAGAGAATTGTGACAATTCGTTCCTACAAATTATAGTAATTTCTGAGACTTCAGTGTAGCATTCAGACTTTTTAATAATAGGGAAACAGAATGATTAGTTTTCAGTGGTTGTGATTTGGTGCATATGCACATTTAGATAGCTAAGAGTGAAATAGGAATAGATCCTTAGGTCTTAAGAAGAATATAGTCATCCCAGAATTCGTCTTGTTTAGGATGAGTCTTTTATCTTATTTTCCGGACATTCATTTTGAAACTCCTAACAATTGCTCTATCTTGTACAAAAGAAGAAACACATTGGGGAACTCATAAGTGGGCACTGTATTCCATGTGCACATTCTTATCGCAGCAAATGCACCTGGAAAACACTGGAAGTGATGGTTGAAGAGTTTTTAGTAATAATGGAAATTATTGTAGGTGCCCAACCTAGGAGTTTTCCAGGAATACACCAGAGATTTGAGAAATCAGAAACATTTCTTTGTTTAGTGACCCCAGGACACAGTGTAGCACAACAACATTGAGCCAAAATTGATAGCCTTAATAGTGCCTTTTTGTTTGGGAATGAAAAAGAGAGAATGTTAAGTGTACTGTATATGCGTATGTTGAAGTTGGGAAGAGTTTGGAATAGGCCTTAAAACGAGTTGGTATGTTTGAAGTATTTTTTTTAATCGCTTTGTTAAGGGCTCATACAGCTCTTATCACAATCCATACATACATCAGTTGTGTAAAGCACATTTGTACATTCATTGCCCTAATCATTCTCAAAACATTTGCTGTCCATTTAAGCCGCTGGCATCAGGTTGTTTGAAGTATAGTATGAGAAGGGAAAAGATAATGGAAAGGCAGGTAATATGTAGTAATTTAAAGCTACTGGTAGTGTTTCTGGCCAAAAGTAGCTGTTTATTATAAATTATAGCTAGAGATTCTATGAATTCTTAATTAATTCAATAAAAGTCTTATAGCTGGTGGCAAATAAAGATATTATGTATATTTCAAAGCAGTTTTGTTATATAAACAGACCATAGTAATCATTTGGATTTTAAGTTTATGCATCTAAAGTAGTATTCGAATTTAAATCAATTTGGCAAATATTATTTCCATTTTATAGATTGGAAAAGTAGTTATTTCATTAACAAGTGCACCATTTAATAGATAAGGAAACAATTTCTTCTAAAGAATGCTACATTGACTGTCTGAAAAGAAGTGAAATATACTGATTTCTTGTGTAGCTGAATGAAGGATATATGTTCTCTCAGGTAGGAAATGTAATTTAGGGTTTGTCTTTTTCTTAAATTGTTTGTATTTTTCATTTCTAGGCTGTTCGCTGCTACGAGTCTCTAATCTTAAAAGCTGAAGGAAAAGTGGAGTCTGATTTCTTTTGTCAATTAGGTCACTTCAACCTCTTATTGGAAGATTATCCAAAAGGTAAAACTTTTTTCTTTTGTTTAACTACAGTTAGATTTATTTCAAGTAGCTGTAATTATATCTTAATATTATCATGTTTACATATTTGTTAAGTGACGCCACAACACATTAAAACAGAACAACATTGTGGAGTATTTAGTGGGAGGAAATTATAAACTCGTGAGTATAGTAAACAATGAGAAAGAAAGTGGGAATAGATGGTGTTAAAATGGTAATTTCCACAAGGTTAAATCTGTGCATGAACTCATAAGCTGTATTTGCAAAACATTTAGGAGGATGGTGTTGGGGAACGCAGGGCAGCTGATTTAGAAGTCAAACAAGAGCTCTAAAGAGGCATGGGACGCAAAGCCGAAGGATTTTTATGGTTAGACCCCTAGGAACAAGGAGGCTTTCCTAGGCGACTTGTGGGTATTTTCTTTCTTTATTTGGAACCAACTGGAAATTTCAAACTGGGTTAAACTAAGCAAGAAAGTCCTAATTGGTTAGTTTAGATTTCTGTTTCTGAGAGCCAGTTGATTGACTTAGGTTTCAGCCTGCTGGGAAGGTCAGTTATTTTACAGGAAATAGAAAATTACTAGGTTCTGATTTAGAGATGGGGGTGCAATGAACTTGAGTTCATCTTGGGTTTAGTATAGTCAGATTATCAATGGTAAATGGAAATTTCATGTAACTCCAAGTAAATCATAAATATATCGATCATTTAGTAAATACTAATAAGCTTCCTACATGTGCATTATAGCTTTTTCTTGCCTAGTGAACATTCCTGACCTTTAAAGGTTTAATCTACTATAGTAAAAAGTGAGCCAGTTTGATTAATGCATGGTCATTTTGGAAAAATAGGAAAAAGTAACAAGAACCAGCGTTGTTTTCTATTTTATCCTGTGTATAAACCTTAACCATTTTAGCTAGAAAATATTTGAAAGAAAATCTGATCTGTAGCTATGTAATCAGAGATGATCATATGTGTATTTTGAGCCGTGAGTAAAAACAAGTTTTTATTCCTTTGAACATGCCTCCTGTAAGAAATTAGGTGAGTTAATTAACGGAAGATAATCCCCCAAGATGAATCCTTTAAACAGTATCAAGCTGCCAACCGAGATTCTTACTCATTCAGGATGTTGAAAGCATCCATACTATATACTACCCTTTGCCCCCAAAATCCTTAACTAAGAAAAACTGTATTCGAAGTAAGAATGTTTTAACTTTTTGATGATAGGTTGTGTTGTGCTTGTTTTCAACAAGTGTACTTTTAGTGATGGCTTGTTGGTATGTTAATTGCTTTAGTACACCACTGTCCTGTTAGGTCAAGTATACATTTTTTAAATGAGATGGCAATTTTAGTTTGAGATAGGTACATTCTGTGGGGTTTGCAGTTAGGCTTATTTCCCAACTTTCATACTTAACACCTATATTACTTGGAGCAGGTTATATAACATTCTTGAGTTTTTGTCTTTTATCTGTAGACTCATAGTAAGCTTATAGGGCAAAGTAGAACTGCCCCTTTAGATTTCTGAGAGGGGTGCTAAGAGTCAGAATTAGTAACTCCATGGTGCACCGAGTTTGAATCTGCAAAGGGTAGGGTGACAGTGAAGGGAGTGGTGGGATATGTTATTGTTATGTGAAACAGTTTAATATGCAGCAAAATATATTCAGTTCTGTAGAGTAATATTTGCTAATAATGCACACTACTTTATACTTTGTTAGATATTTTAATTAAAAGTAATACTGTAACTTACTTAAAGGAAAAACTAGTATATAAAAGAAATACTAGAGCACACTAATTTAAGAGCACATAAACAGAGACCCAGACTTGAAAATTATTTGTGCATGGGGTTCTTAGTCTTGCTGCTTAGTTGTCATTAAGTGATACATACAATTTTTTAACTATCATAGTTTTATTTTTAGTCTAAAAAGACTAAATGGGCTTCTTTCATAGCAAAATAAAACGCAGAAAAACAGTTATGGGGGGGGAGGGATAACAGTGGCAAATCTGTCCATAAGTAAAATTAACTCCAAGGGTTAAAGAGATTCTAAGCTTAAAATAGATTGATAGCTAATTCAGTTTAAAATGTTTGGGAACACTATTCTTTGTTAATTGGAACAAGAAAAAGGCAATCTTGCCTAACGTAGTTTAAAAGAATTTCTCAGTGGTATGAATATGGACTTGAGCCAATGAAGAGCTCAGGCAGGGATCACAAAGTGAAGATGATTTAGGGTCTTCCAAAGATAGCCGAGTTTGCTATCATCATTATTAAACAGGTTTAAAGCATTTTAAGGGTTTTCAAGCAGATGGTTTTCTCTCATTCTCTTTTAAAGACTTTAGAGAAATTTAGTTGCCATAGGATTAGGCCATTTTTTCCATGGGGAGATAACTGACTTGACTGAAGATTACAAAAATTGGCAATGCTTTGGATAAAATGATTTCTTTCACTAGAGGTATTAGTAATAGGAACTTTGTGTAGCCATTAGCATGTTAGAGAAAATGAATAAATGAGTGGAAAAATGAAAATTATTCTTGGAAGAAATGAGGCAATCACAAATGGATACATGCAGTTTGAACGTAAGGAATATTGCCATAGCACACTTACAGAAATAATGCATGGGGATGGGGGCCATAGCTTGGAAAATAAGCTGGGATAATGCACATGTTATTTGCATAAAATTCATACTATTGCAGTGTCTTTCCTCCCTTTCTTCTCTCCACCTTTCCTTTCTCTCTTTTTAAAGGTCACTGATGAATATATCCCTCAGCAAAATATTGTTACTTTCTAAAAACTGAGCAACAAGCACTTGTATTGCTACTATTGGCTCTCGGGAGAAGTAAACAAATGAAACTTGTGTCATAGTCTGGCTCATGATTTCCTGAGTTCACAAGAGCCCCTTTTGAGGGGAGGTCAGTAGGTTGGAGGTGATGTGTGAATTTTGGCACACACAAATACCTAGTATTAGTTAGGACATCTTGGAGGACTATGGAGCCAGGTAGCAGAACATCTGCCATAAATTTGATCAGAGAGTAGGCAATTCAAAGTAGATCAAAGAAATAATAGAGCACTTAAGTGTTCTCATGTTATCCAGTTTGTAGAATGGGCAGGGTGTTGGGGGTTCTAGGAACTATTGTAGCACATAGCCAAGATGAGAATCTAGGACAGATATATATGCATATACTATTCTTCCATTGAAGGTGTGCAGGTACAGGGCAGTGGAATATTGAGAGCCGTGAAGCCTCAATAGATTTGGGTCTGGATATAGCTGCCAATTCTGAGATCTCCCTTTTTCTGTCTTCTCTGTTAGATTTTTCGCTTCCTATGTAAATTATATCTTCTTGGTATATACTCTTTTAGGGAAGTATGCTCATTAGCAACTTCATGGGGAAGGATACCTTGGGAGGTCGATATTTTTGAGAATTTGCATATTTAGTCCACTTGTATAACTGTTGTTGGTTTGAATATGCCATTTTAGGTTGGAAATAATTTTCTTTCAAAAGTTTGGAAGCATTGTTCCATTGCTTTATTTCTAGAATTGATCTCGGTTCTTTAAAACTAGCAACTGCTGTCCTTCTCTTCTGGAAACTTTTCTGGAATCCGTTTCTAAATTGTCTCCTTCTGTTCTTTTTCTCTTGGAACTCCATTAATGATACCTTAGACCAGCGGTTCTCAACCTGTGGGTCGTGACCCCTTTGGGGGGTTGAACAACCCTTTCACAGGGGTTGCCTGATTCATAACAGTAGCAAAATGACAATGATGAAGTGGCAACAAAAATCATTTTATGGTTGGGGGGTCACCACAACGTGAGGAACTGTATTAAAGGGTCACAACATTGGGAAGTTTGAGAACCACTGCCTTAGACCTTCAGGAGAGGGTCTCTAACTTTACCCTATTTTCTGTTTCTTTTTGTTTATTTGGGGGGGGGAGAGAATTAGTTTCTTAATTTTAGTCCTTCTACTGAATTATTCAATATTTTCTCTGAATTTTATTTTAGAGCAACTGGTTTGCCCTTCCCTCTTTATGTACACAGTATTCTCTTATTGAAGACTAAGAAAAGTAATAGTTTGTGGGCTTTTTTGGTTGTTGCTTTTTTTCAGCCCTATTTTTATTTTCTATCTTCTTGGCTTTTTTTATCTCTCATAAGTTTTAGCTGTATACATATATAACATAGGGAGAGCTGAGAACTGATTGATGGGGCAGCATTTTATTGGAGATGGTTTTTTCTATGTATGTATGTATTTGATCAGCTTGCCGAGTGAAGAGTTTGCCTGATGAGGGTGTGCATGTGTGTTTAGCATTATTGCGTGAGTGAAGGAATTTGGTAAGCAAACTGTTAACTCAAACAGTTTTTACCCTTACACTTCTTACTTTAGCACCTACATATTGAGCCAGAATTTGAAATTGCCTTCTACAACTGATCAGCAGAAAAATGTTGGTTTCCTATAGTTTCATCTAGTAGCTTTTTGGTTTCATATTTGTATTTAACTCTTTCATCTATTTTTTGGAATTGTTTTAGTACATGATGTGATTTAGAAATTTCACTGTACTGCTTTCATGTACGTGCTCGAGTGCTGGTTACTATATCGATTGCCCACTGATTGGAAATGCCAGCTGTATCCTATTATTTTACTGGAGACTCATTTTGGAATTTCAGTTTTGTATTGTTTTTATTCCATTTGTAACTTTATGATAATTTAGAACAAAAGTTTCTATTCATTTTCAATGGTTTCTATCTCAATTGTCTTGCCTGTTTAATTTCATGAAAGCATTTCAATTAAGGTTTACAATGTGTTCGTATTGTACAGATGCCTTTTGTTACGTACAATATTTTATTGCTCTTATTCTATAAAAAGTTCATAGAATTGCCTTTAAAAATTCCCCCAGCATATTAGAACATGTCACAGCTACTACACTTGGCTGTCATGCTTTTGTCCCCAAAGACTTTCTTGTCTTGGGTGGTCCTCAGTTACAAGTGTACTTATAGGATCACCTAGAGATCTTTTAAAGTTATGAGGGAACTTGCAAAAATTTGTGAGATATTTTCATTATCTTTTTAGTTACATTTTCTTGCTCTCGTTTTAAAGCTTCCCTTGTATAAGTGATTAATTTGTACCCTAACACTTTTTGCCTAATTGATCTGTATTGAGATTTGTTCATGAGTTTATTTAAAAAAGCATTCCACCACCAAATCTAATGTACACGTATAGCCTTTAGTTTATCTTTTTGTTTCAACTTCATCTGAATTTTTAGGTTGGCAGGATGTATTTTGTTTCCAGATCCTTTAATGCCTTCAGATGGATTTAAGGGTTTGGGATTGATGTCTTATTTTAGAATTGAAGTGAATGTAGCTTAAGAGTAAAGTAAAGGTGGATTTATAGTTGGTGAGTGTTTAATCATTCTTAGAAGTGAGTTCCCTTGTGAGAATAAACAGTGTTATAGTCGAGATTAGGAAAAAGGTTTAAACCCCATTCCTTTTTTTCTTTGAGGAATGTCAGGTTGAGTCAAGGAGTAGTCTACATTTTATGTCTATTCACGTGTAGGCCTCAGATTGAACCATGGTTTTTATCAATGAATTCTGACATTTGGTATTATGATTGACTCTTAGTAAGGAGGCCTCATAGTTTTAAATTGTTTAGCTTTTGAGATACCATTCTCTGCCAATGGATATGGTGGGAAGTTAGTTATATATTCTTTAAGACATTCTGATGATGAAATATGATATAATTATGCTAATCATTATTTTTCATCTTTCAGCATTATCTGCGTACCAGAGGTACTACAGTTTACAATCTGACTACTGGAAGGTTAGTCCACATTTGTTTGTCTATTTGTTTTTTGGTCAGATTATTGTTGATTATACTAAAAATGAATGGTTCTTTCGTTTTTTATGTTACCTACATAACATTAAAACATACGCTTGGGAAAGTGAAAATAAATGTTATTTTGTTTGTGCTATTTCTATTTGATTAAAAGAATCAGATTTCTTCTACTTTACTCTTGACCCTAAAGTATAATGATGTAACAGATTGTAAAACCAACTAAATAGCATGGTGAATTTTAAATTTTCTAGTCTCAGATGAAAGGATTCCATTG